ACACACCACACACACACCACACACACACACACACACACACACACACACCACACACACCACCACCACCACACACACACAACACACACACACACATATATATATATATATATATATATATATATACCATACACACACACCACACACACCACACACCTGCAATTGTACGTTCTTGGTCAGACTCTCCTCCAGCATGGCCTGTATGCGCTTGAACATGTCGTTGTTGTTCGTGGTGGTGGACAGTCTACTCATCACGGCCGAGAACTGCGACCAATTAGAAGAGACCAACGAAAGGGAAGAGAAGAGAAGAGAAGGTAAGTCATGTGTACCAATCAGAAGAGATAACGGAAAGGGAAGAGAAGAGAAGGTATGTCGTGTGTACTAATCAGAACAGACAACGGAAAGGGAAGGAAAGAGACGAGAAGGTACGTCATGTGTACCAGATTTAAGTTCGAGAGTCTCTGACACACATGGATTTGGAATATGTGCATATTAGAACAGGCTTCTTGTTGGCGATGGATGCCCCCTTTCACAATCCTCGAACATATGTGGATGGATATGTCCCTGGGTTGTAGGGTTTAGGGTTTTAGGGTTTCTGGATATTTGGGTTATATATCCGATGCCTCAATCCGTGCGCAAAGACGAAGTACTGTGATACCCTAACCCCCAGTCATCCCCTGAACAAAAGATACTGAAACGTACCCCATGTAGCAAATACTACAACCTACCACACTCAAACCATACTGCAACCTACCACACTCAAACCATACCACAACCTACCACACTCAACCCATACTACAACCTACCACGCTCAAACCATACCACAACCTACCACACTCGACCCATTCTACAACCTACCACGCTCAAACCATACCACAACCTACCACACTCAAAGTATAGGGTCGCACCCCAATGAGTCGGGTCTGTCTTCGCATACCTTGTCAGCTACATCTGAGGCCTGCTTCTTGTACGTAGCATCTTCAGACTCTCCAGTAGCCCTCCCTGGCTTCGTGCTGTTCTGGCGTGTTATATTCCGGCCGGCTTTATTCTCCATCACATACGTTTTGATCAAAGCCGTTTTCTGCGCGGATGCGGAGGGAGTGGATGTGAGTCCAGAGTGGGAATGTGGGCGTTAAAACGGTTTGTTCATCAAGTGTGAATACCATTGGAGTGTATGATTTTCTGAGTACGTATTGTTAGAAAAGGTAACTTTTGTTACCTGAAACTTTCTCAACGATACACCCAACACACCTCTAGCGAATCTCTCCCTCGTGCGATTACCTACCGATTTGACTTTCACAAATTTTGATAGCCAATGAATATAGCCAATGGATATAGCCGATGAATGACTAGTGCTATTGGCGTTTGCATATGCTACAAAATCGTCTATTCGAATAAAAATCAGTGGATATGTACCCAAAGGTATCAATGTACAGACACAAATTTAGCAATGTACAGACACAAATTTATCAATGTACAGACACAAAAGTATCAAATGTACAGACCCAAAATTAGCAATGTCTCATTGTACAGACACAAAAGTATCAAAAGTACAGACACGAAATTAGCGATGTACAGACCTAAAATTATCAATGTACAGACCTAAAATTATCAATGTACAGACCTAAAATTATCAATGTACAGAAACAAACGTATCAAATGTACAGACCCACAATTATCAATTTACAGACCCAAAAGAAATAAATGTACAGACTCAAAAGTATCAATATACAGACCCAAAAAAAGCAATGTACAGACCCAAAATTATCGATGTATAGACACTAAAGTATAAAGTGTACAGACTCAAAATTAGCAATGTACAGACCCAAAAGTATCAGTATATAGTCTCAAAAGCATCAGGGTACAGCTGCTAAGCGTGTCTGCAACAAAAAGCACTCAGTGCTAAGCCCAGTAGGTGTGCTTCTGAATACCTACCTGTTCGAGAGAGAAAAGTATATAGACCCAGCATATGCGACTATAATACATGCACGTCATGACAATATGCCTGTGTTAATCCATAACTACTCAACCCCTATATATAGACCCAGCATATGCAACTATAATGCATGCATGTCATGACAATGCGCATTTGTTAATCCAGGACTACTCAACCCCTATATATAGACCAGTACATGCAACTATAATACATGCATGTCATGACAATGTGCCCGTGTTAATCCATGACTTCTCAACCCCTTTATATAGACCAGTACATGCAACTATAGTACATGCATGTCATAACAATGTTCCTGTGTCAATCCATAACTACTCAACCCCTATATATAGACCCAGCATATGTAAGTATAATACATGCATGTCATGACAATGTGCCCGTGTTAATCCATAACTACTCGACCCCTATATATACACCAGTGCATGCAATTATAATACATGCAATGACAATGTGCCTGTGTTAATCCATAACTACTCACCCCTGCATACCCTACACATTATCCCCTTCACAACAAGTGCGTTCATCAGTCACCTCCATTAAGACGGTGTATCTTTAACTGCCCAAACCCATTACACCCACACCTACACCCACACCCACACCCACACCCACACCCACACCCACACCCACACCCACACCCACGACCCACGACCCACACCACACCCACACCCACACCCACACCCACACACCCACACCCACACCCACACCCACAACCACACCTACACCCACACCTAAACACACACCT